TTTACGTCTTTACGCTTTTACGTCTTTACGCTTTTACGTCTTTACGCTTTTACGTCTTTACGCTTTTACGTCTTTACGCTTTTACGTCTTTACGCTTTTACGTCTGATTCCGAATTTTTAACGAAGACGAGAATATCGTTTTCGTTCGCGGCACATTTGCTCTTGATTCACGAAAGCCAACAATGTCTAATTCGAAATTCATATTATTCTTTGCATGATTCACTAATTCTTCAGCCGTGTTTTTAGCTGTAACCTGACCGGCAGAAAAACGTAAGACGAACGGCTGAAACGGATATCTCGTTTGCATGAATCTTTCTGCTTCATTTGTGAGCTGAGTCTAGTCTGACTCAATCTGAACGATAGCAGGATTTGTTGTAGCAGAATTGTCAGCATATGAATTAAAAAAACAATACATATTCTTTTTATGCTATTGAGAGAAATAATAATTATCAAGCATGGATTTATAGATCTTGACGAGCTAAATGCGATGATGCTACTCCCAAAACTTTATCGCGCAGATTTTTCATTGGAAATGCCGAAAACGAAGATGGGTGGCTCTTGGGAGTCATTACTCGCTCTTACTGAACTAATACGTTTGAGCTTCGTGGTTGAATAGAACACACTCACTCGTCAGTCGAAACGAATGGTGTGTCATAAGTTGAATTTCGGTTCTGCTTTCATTAAAAATAAGTATATAGAAATTTCACCGGACATTTTCACGTATTTTGCCAATGTCTCTTCTATGCTGCAATATTTCAATTTCATTTTTTTACCAAAGATGAAACCTCATCAGATCTAAAGATGACTACAGTTTGATCTTGCTTGGAGCATTATTTATCGAAATATCGAAAAAACAAACTCTAAAATCTCACCGAATATTTCGTGTCCTTCAGGTTTACATCAATTTCGGTTCAACTGACCAATGAGGTTAACAATACAGATGAATGTTTAGTTGCAGTGATTCTCTTGTTAGGATGCATACTTATTATTTTCCTATTTCTTGGACTCATGGTAGTAAATCTGTTTCGAATACAATCTGCTCTTTTTTTTAAAATTGTGTACTCGACATCTCCATCATATCTAACAAAACCGAGATAGGGAGCTTTTAAGAAAAACAAAAGAACTTTTTTTCTTTTTAAATTATCATTCGAACTGCTCGATCATTCCAAAACTTTCCTGATTACGGTGGTTTTTCGTTTTCCTCTCTTATGAATGCATGGAACTGTTATAACAATAGTATAACAAACACTTTAAGTACATCTAATCAGGTTTAACAAGGAGGACAGAGTAGAGAGAAAGAATGTTCCAGTATGTTTAATTTTAGATTACATATTAGCAATAGTAAGAGAAAATATAAAGATCTAAGAAAGTGATTTGCATCGCAGGCCAACGGTATCTTTTCATTCATTAACAATTCTTTATATATTCAACAACAATATATCAGCTGAAGGTGCGAAAGCAATTGCAGAAGCCTTGAAAATCAACAAGCTCACTATAAGAGCTACAGAGCTGGTTCTTGCATCATTCATCATAATGCCGTGATGTAAACGTAAACAAAGTTGGAATATCCTCAAAAAAAATTTTTTTTAGTCATTTCTCTTTAAAACAGAGAAAGAGGATTGATAGTAGTACACGTCATCATGCGAAGTTCTCACTTATCGATGCAGTGATAACCTTCTATTTGCAATCGAGGTTTTGCTCGTTTGCTTACAGAAGCTCTATAAAAAGTAAACAAAAACTGTTACTTAGAACCCAAAAGAATACAATTTTTCCAGCTGCATATTTTCCAAGCAAAGATCCCTTTGTTCGTTGTTGCTTTTCAACCCGTTTAAGAGTTTTCTATTCTTGTCGAGTTTCTCTAATTTTTCTAGAACGGAACCAATGATCCGTATCAATTACGAGAAACAAATAATCACAATCAAGATGATTCAAATGAAGCTGATCAAGATAATTGTGTCATTTTCAATGAAGAAACCGTGCTGGAAACAATAAACTCTGGCTTTAAAGCAAGTTTCACAGAAATTTATGAAAATATTGAAAAATCACATGAACAACAGCCACAATCATTAATGATGGATGAAGATAGAAAGAAAACAGATAGTAATATTAAATTCATTAAATACATTCTTAAATGGTGTATGCCGTCTGTTATAATTTGGTTAAATTTATTGGTTCATCCAAATATCCAAATACAACGATCAAATGCACAATCAGAACGAGAAATGGGCATAACAAAAATAGTCCATTTAGATGGAGTTGTGAACGGAAGAATTGATGTTGTATTAGATACATTAATTGAAAAACAAATGGACACAATCACATTTTTTGCTGAACACTATTTTATGAATAAATTAAATCAACAAGTTCAGATCAAATCAAAATTTGTCGCAGACTCATGGGCAAGTCGTGCTAATAGAAACCGATCTTGATATCAACAACAGGCTAATAATAGTGTGCTACGAAGGCTAAATAAAACACAAACTATAGACATTAAATATAATGAAGATTTACATATACAACAATAGGAATTACACCCACGTAATAATTATATTCATGCCATTATTCTATGCCTATCTGGAATATCTGTTTGGCGAAAAACGTTATTACGATCCAATAACAGTTTTAATAAAATTATGACAAAAGACAGAATAATAAAAAATGATATTGATGTCATTAAAAATTATTTAGATGTTGAAAACTTATTGCAAAATAACGAAAATGAATCAAAAACAAATTATTTGTTTATTACGTCACATCGTTCATCCAATGATCAACACATTAACATCTACAAGAATAGAAAGCATTTGTTATTTTGAATGCACCACTTGTGTACAAACGTTCAAAAGAAATGCGACCTATGATGCTATACAATTACAAAATAAAAGACATACAATGGATGTGGTCGATGAATTATATGATTTTTTCAA